AAAATCTTGGCATGAGAAAGATGTGTGCAAAAATGGTCCCGAAAGAGCTCACATGAACAAAAGCAAAAGGAGAGTCGAAGTTTGCCAAGACCTTTGGGAGAGGCAAGGCGATGTTTTGGGCCGTGTTATCACCAGTGATGAAACATGGGTGTACCAATGCGACCCTGAAACAAAGCGTCAAAGTGCACAATGGAAGTCAGCCAATTCTCCACCAACAAAAAAGTTCTGCCAGTCCAAATCAAGAGTGAAAACGATGTTGCTAGCCTTTTTTGATATCAGAGGGATGATTCATTATGAATTTGTACCAACTGGACAAACAGTTAACCAAGTTTACTATTTTGAAGTGCTGAAAAGGCTGCATGAAAAAGTTGGTAGAAAATGACCTAAACTTTTCACCAACAATTCATGGTTCTTGCATCACGACAATGCACCAGCTCACACGGCTCTGCCTGTGAGAGAGTTTTTAGCCAGTAAACAGATAATTGTATTGGAACACCCTCCCTACTCACCTGATCTGGCCCCGAATGACTTCTTTCTTTACCCAAAGATAAAGGAAATATTGAAAGAAAGACATTTTGGTGACATTCAGGACATGAAAGGTAATACGACAACAGCTCTGATGGCCATTCCAGAAAAAGAGTTCCAAAATTGCTTTGAAGGGTAGACTAGGTGCTAGCATCAGTGCATAGCCTCCTAAGGGGGAGTACTTCAAAGGTGACTATAGTGATATTCAGCAATGAGGTATGTAACACTTTTTTTAGAATGAGTTTGCGAACTTAATTGTCAGACCTCGTATTACCCTTGATGTCCTCAATGTTATCAAAATGTCTTCCTTTCAATATTTCCTTTATCTTCGGGTAAAGAAAGAAGTCATTGGGGGTCAGATCAGGTGAGTAGGGAAGGTGATCCAATACAGTTCTTTGTTTACTGGCTAAAAACTCCCTCACAGACAGTGCTGTGTGAGCTGGTACATTGTCGTGATGCAAGAGCCATGAATTGTTGGTGAAAAGTTCAGGTCATCTAACTTTTCCACGCAGCCTTTTCAGCACTTCCAAATAGTAAACTTGGTTAACTGTTTGTCCAGTTGGTACAAATTTATAATGAATAATCCCTCTGATATCAAAAAAAATTAGCAACATCGTTGCAACAAGTTCATGAACTTAATTGTCACACCTCATATAGATGAACTACAAAACAAGTTACATTATGTGAAGTGTTAAAATACAGACGCAAACCAGTACCATCAAAACACAAAGGAGAGGCAGTCTAGGGACAAGTGGGACAGAAGATGGGAAAGGTTACCCCAAAGAAGGATCACATGAGTTGCTCCTGAAGGGTTAGTAAGATGGCTCTGTGTGGAGAAGAGGGCCTTGGATAGTGTGTAAAGCACATCACAAGGACTGAGCCCAGGCTAGGGTGGCTCACAGGTGGGCTGCATGGTCAAAGGTAGGCAGTAGCTAGAGTATGGATACTTCTGACACCCTGTGCTACCGAGCAAGGACTGCATTCTGCAAATAACAGAAGCCATTGAGCGTTCTGTTAAGTGTGAACATAATAAAATAATAAAAAATGTAGCAGCTGGCTTGAGCTGTTCAATAGGAATACAATGTAAGTCACAAATGCAGCCCTAATGCAATTTAAATTTTTCCAACAGCCCCATTGAGAAAAGAAAGAGATGAAATTAATTTGAATAATTATTTTATTTAACCCAGTAGGATCCATAATATTAGCATTTCAATATGTAATCAGTGGAACGATCATTAATGCATTATTTTTCATTCTGGGGCTTTTTGTACCAGGTCTTTGCACTTCGCGTGTATTTTACACTTAACAGCCCTTCTTTGTTTGGACAACCACAGCTCAAGTGCTCTATAAGTCACATATTGCTATTGCTACCAACAGTCACACGTGCAGGAATAAAGGATGGCATAGGATATATTCTACCCACAAACCCTAATTCCTTAGTTCTCATAAGGTTCAGTACCCCTCCCCTCCAAAAAGTGGGTTCCATGGTCGATTAAGTGTTTGTGGCTCTGGGGTCATCAAACTATTTCTTTAGTGAAGCATGTCTCAGAGCCTAATGTGCATTGTGATCCTACGAAAGAAATACACAGCCGGCAGCATTGTCCAAGTTTCTTTGACTTTACAGGTCGGGAATGCCAGGGACACATTTTAGTGTTTGCTGGATTAGGGGGAGCAGGGAGCCTGGAGGCAGGCTAAGGGAGAAGTATGGAAGGAAACAGAAGGAGAGTGAGTCACAAAGGCTGGGTGAGGAGAGACCCCTCAGAGGTGTCAGTGCTGTGGGCAGGTGGAGGAGAGCATGACTTCCAGAGGGGTCACGGGATTTGGCAATGCCAAGGTCATCATTACCTTCACAAGAGCAGTGTTTGTGGAGCAGTGGAACAGAAGCCGGAGTACCCTAACCTGATGAAGTAACAGGAGAGCTGGGGGGTTGACTGTGAGTGGTGGCATTTGGCAATGAGACCAGAGAGAAGGTGCTTGAGGGGGGAGTAGGATTGAAGAAAGGCTTGTGAGCCACCAGGATATGCGTTAGATCATGAGGTAGGAGGGACACGTAACCATGTGTGTAGCCTGACAAGGAACCAGTGAAGACTGACGGTGGAAGTGACGGAAGTGTAAGGACAGGGAAGGGTCCTGCAGGAAAGGGGCCAGTTCAGGATGCTGGCTTTAGGAAGAAATAGCATCCCTCATCCCTTGACACAGGTAAGAAGCACAGGGGTGATGAGCATGGATGTAAAACGTAGGAAGGAAAAGCGGCATCATGCCCTTATTTTTTTTCCCTGCCATCAGAGGTAAGACTATATAAAAGTGAAGGTAGGGGTCAGCTTGGAAACTTGAACAGAGAATAAACGTTTTAAGAACCAGTATAATGAAATACAAAGGGGTCAGATAGGGGTGAATTGTCCCCACGTTCATCCTGATGAAGCTAATAATGTCACGTATGTTCCAGCCTTAGAAATGACAAACTATCTGAGACTTTCCCTGCTATTCCAAGATACAGAACAGCTAGGCCGATGCTTGGGTTTTAATGTATTTATTTCCCACAGGGTGGTACTCATATCCCAATGGCACACAACACCATGGCATGCAACACAGCACCCAAGAGGACTCACTTTATTTTAATGGTTATATAGTTATTTTAGTAACTATTAGAGGAAACATACCTAGCATACCAAACCCATAATGTCCTAGCTATTTAACTTAAACATGAGTAAATTTAGAGAAAGATATTAGGTAAATAATAGTAGAGATGGACTGTGGATGTGGCAGAATGTGAATGACTGAAATTTGTAAAACACTGTAAGAGGTAGGGCAGCCTTAGACACTGTTCTTATTGCCTCTGTCAGTCAGCGGCCACTCTGACCCGCGACACCGGGTCTCACCACGACTCGAGGCATTCCACCGGGCACCAGGCCATCACGTCTAACCTTTCCATGCACAACCTAGTCAGACAGGCATCTGTGTTAGCCCTACTGGTTCAAAACACTCAAGTCATTCCTGCAGCTCTCCCTGGCAGGACAGAATAAAATGCAAACCCAGCAAAACGTGGTCTTTTTGAACATGACAGTGGCACCCTGATTTTTTCTTGGTAGCACCAAACCCGCCTTATTCAATGATTGTTTTACTGTGGGAGTAATTTTTTTAAAGCTATTGGCAGCATGTACAGAAAATAGAACAGGTGCCTTCGTCAGAACCATCCGTCAGCCCAAATCTATACAAAATATATAGACATTCACAGGTGATCAGAAAGAGAAACCCCTTAGAAAGGCCAGTCCGATCCTTGCATTGTCTGCCTCTGTGGCTTGGTCCATTTCTTCCCAGTGCTTGCTAAGCGCTTCCCTGTGCTGTGCGTCTGCATCTACCCAGACGCTCCTTGCATCCATGAAGGCCCTGCACAAGGCTGCCCCTCCTCCCAGCTGCCCTCCATGATTGCCTCAGCTCAAGGGTCATCCTGGTTCACGTGGCTTTCTCTCTTCCAGCTGTCAGATGCGCGCTGCTTGCTGCCTCATATTGTGGCTTGCTGGGTACCTGCCAGCTTTTTCTTTTGGTCTGAGGAAGGGCTTCCTGAGGTATTTCCCCTACCACTGTGCTTAAGGCAAGCCCTCGGCTACTTACTGAATCATTCTGGGATTATGTCACTTCCCAGTTTGACGTTTTAGTTCAGTTCCGATGTACCTGTAAATTGATGCAAAGTGAATGCAGGGCCTCTCACCTTGATGCAAGGCTGCCCTGGATTTCCCTCAGAAGCTCCTGGGGCTGCGGTGAGCCCCAGGCCAGGAGGGCTTTGTTCTAGTGGGTTAAGGTGGTGGTCTTGTTGGTAACTGCTAGGTTCTGGAAACTTTAGGTTTCCTAATGTAGCGCTTTACTTCGAGAAATCTAGAGAAATGTTTCTCAAACATTTTTTTTTAACAGTAACTCACAGTAAGAAATATATTTTACATCCCCAAATATGTACCTACCTAAAATTTTTCATAAAACAATACTCACCAATGCTGTACACATGATAATTTTTATATTTTTTTTAATGCTGGACCTGACCCATATATTGAAAAACTAAATCGATATAACAACCCACTGATAGCAGCTCATGACCAGCAATTTGGAAAACGCTGGTCTCAAGCATTTGATTCATTTAATCCTTTCAGTAGCTTTGAAAATGCCTTGAGATGGTGAGAATAGCATAGATTCTTCACAATCTCAGCAGAGTTCTGACCTCTCTGAGGCCATTCCTAAAAATTCTTCATTCTGCCATTAAAGGGAAGTTGGGGCCCCACTGAAATGTTCCTAATTCACGGCTCTCGGGCACTGCGTGGGCCGTCGGCAGGTGTGCACTGTCCACAGAGGTTCCAGGCTCTTCAAAGCTGTGTATGTAGTTCTTTGAAGGTAGCATTTGTAAACCCAGCACATCTGCTGATAGGCGTGTTTTCTACAGAGAAGTCTAGAATAGTAGTTTTTAACTCTACCCTGTTTTTCCATAGGGTGTGCTGATCTGCAAACCCTGGACACCATGCAGCCGATGGAGAGGAAAAGGCAGGGCTATATCCATGAACTGATCCAGACTGAAGAGCGGTACGCGGCCGACCTTCAGCTGGTCGTTGAGGTGAGAGCCCGCCGCTGTCTGTCTCTAGGAGCATAAGGGGTTGGGGGGGCCTCAAAACAAGGTATCACCTTGGATGTGTGACTTCACAAGTAGTGACAAGAGCTCTCACACGTTCAGAATGCTTTCTCTGCCCGTTGAGAGGGCTTGAAGATGTCAAGTCAACACTTTCTCTCAGATTAGGTAATTCAGAGTGAAGAGAGAGAACAAGAGGACACTCAAATGCTCAGTCAGCAATGGTAGAGGTACTATCTAGGAAGGATGAGGGTTTAGACTCAGTGGGAGGGCACACTTGCCTACCTCAGAATTTTGCCTAACTGTATTTACACTGCTGTTTTGACACCTGACATTTTCATAAACTTCGATATTTCCAGAGGAATTATTAAGCAGTGGTAGTGTTCGCCTAACGTTGGTATCAGTTTGGAAAACCAAATAGGACCATATTGCAAAATGTTTCCCAATTATCATAGATTTACTGTTTATGTTTGTGCCTATCAGTGTTACCAGTGACCTCTAAGCCAATCACAGCTGTTAGAGTAGCACTTTAAAAATGCTTTGTGTTGGAGTAAACAAAATTAGACTTTATAGTTCTATTATACTTTATTTGCTATGGATTTTAGTTTCCACTGAATGTGTCAAGACCCTCAGATTAGAAGCCCAGTTAAATAAACCACCTGAGGAGAACAGGTGGCCCAACAGGTGCAACGTATACCTGGCCATGACCTTGACAGTGGCATGGAGCAGAGGCTGCACCCTTCTGCATCTGTCCCACAGCAAGGCCTGCCCTTGAGTCATTCCCACCCTACACGCAGGCTGGCATCTCCAGACACCCACCCTTGTTCCTCTCACCTGTACACACTACCACACTTCTCAGTTGATAATGCCTATCTGCCCACAAGACTATGAGCTCCTGAGAGCAGAGACTATGTATCCTTCATCTGCATCACCAAAACTTAGCCTGGCCCTTTGCAGGCCCCCCCACCAGTGCTGAAGGAATTAGGTGTGTTTGTGTCTGCACTTCTCTGACCAACACAGACAGTCTACAAGAAAAGCCCATGTTTTTATTAAGCCCTTCAAGCATCAGCCCTGCTGCTGGCCATATTGCAGTCCTGAGGGATTGCAAATGGGCGTGGAGGTACCTCTCTGACACTAGTACAGAAAGTGAACAAGGGCCAGGTGCCTGCCCCACCTCAGACCTGTCACTTAACCACTTAGGCTTTAGGCTTGATTCCCACTCTGCCCACCTCAGGAGAGGCTCTGCGGGGCAAGGAGTCATGTCAGGGTCAGAGATTTAGATGAAAAGCACTGTTCACGGGCAAGGCCTTCTCCTTACCGTTCCCGTGGAGGTTCCCTGAGGGCCCGACCATCTCACCCTCCTCTTCTTAGCTCCTCTGGCACAAAGAAGGTAAATAGAATGAATAACCGAGTAACATAAGTTAATCAATGGTGATGGAACAGGGAGACACCAGACGCTTTCCCCGTCCCTCAGAAGCTACCACAGAGCAGGTTGACCATCTTTCCAGGGCTTGCTCTCCTAGACGTGTCCCGACATCGTCAGCCTGACTTTGGAACTATAGAGGTTTAGAGAGGTCCAGTTCATAGCACTTTTATCTGAATTCTTTGGCTCCATGTTCAACACAACTCAGTAAATATTAGTTGAAAACCTATGTGTGAAGCACCATGCTTGAGAGCAAAGATAAAAGAGAAATTGCCTGCCCTCCTGGAGTTCACAGTCATGTGGAGACGGTTTCAGAACAGTGCCGTGAGGGCTGGCAGAGAGGTGAACTCTGCTGCTTTGAGGGCCGAGAGGAAGTGGCCCGCCCGGTCAGGAAGGATTGTCCCAGTTAGGCTGCAGCCGAGACCTGAGGACGAGCCTAGAAGCGGAAGTAGAGGTAGGAAGACATGTGCAAAGGGAACTAGGGCCCTGAAAGTAGTGTGGCTGGAGTGTCACGAGCTGGAGCGCCAGGCTGGTGAGGTTGGCAGGGGACAAGTCATGCAGGCCTCGTGAACCTCAAGATGGGGTTTGCATCTTATCATGGGGCCGCTGAACAATTTTAATAGAGAGTAACAGTCATGTGTATTTTGGAAAGATCACACATGAGAAGAGTTGTCTCAGATAACTACACTCTTTCCTTAAGGCTTTTAAAGTTATTCCCTGGGAATCCTAGTTGTTTAGTGGGAACTTGGACTTAGAATCAAAAGGAGTTTAGTTTTAGTTGTAGCTCCTCCATATTCATGTTTTGTGACCTTGAGCAATTCACTGTCTCAGCCTTTATATCTTCATGGGTTAATTCCGAATAATAATGCCTGACTCAGCCTGAGCTACATCATCTGTGGATTTAATTGAGAAACACACACACAAACATGTATGTACATGTGAGCGCTTTGTAAACCCGTACGTGCTATGGAATACTGATGTGGGGAACTATTTCCCCTTCAGTCAGTCAGCCTCTGCAGTCCACATCTGCTTGGCTTTCAGCCTTGGGGTTAACATGTCATCGCTGTTCGTTCCTTTTGCTGAACTCAGAGACTGCTTCCAGCACCCTGAGGTGCTCAGCCTGACGGTGGTCGTGCCGAGCCCGTTCTGCAGGCTCTTACAGAGTGGAGGTGCCTTATGCCCAGGTTTCTGTTTAGCCTCTATAACACCACTCCCCCAGGAGATAATATCAGAACCTTCTCTTCTTGATGAGACTACCGGATTCAGTCCTTAGAATCAGACTTGATAGGAACCCCAATCGCAAAAAGTAAGGAAATTATGCAGTTTAAAAGTTAAAAATCATAAAAATGTTTATTTAAAAATCCCATGATGTCCTTAGTTCCGGCATATGAAGTTATTGTCTGGTTTAGATCACGTAGGCTGTGTCTTCACACTTCAGCTTATTTCTTTTGTGTTTTGAATGTAGGTTTTTCAGAAACGGATGGCCGAGTCAGGCTTTCTCACTGAAGGAGAAATGGCCTTGATCTTTGTTAACTGGAAGGAGCTCATCATGTCTAACACGAAGCTGCTGAAGTGAGTCCAGAGCCTCGCTTGTCGTCGCGTGTCACCCCCCGCTCCCACTCCCCCCAGGACTGAGCCCTTCACAGATAACTCTTCTGCAGAGGCTACTTAGCAAGGGACATGTCAACTGTTTTCTGCTCCCTCAGGCTTTTCATTTTGTTATCATTTTAGGAAATGCCCTATAACTGTAAAATACATAATTATTGAAGTAAAAAAAAAAAAAAACAAAAAAAGAAAATACTTTGATTAAACAAAGAAAAAACTTAAATCGTGAAACAAACCATATATTAACGTATGATCCCAACATATACTTGACTCTCTCTTGGGTAGATAGAGTCAGGAGAGAAGCAACAGCTCATAACTGGCTAGTTGGGCATCTCCTAAGTCCCGTGTCCCATGAAGTTCATTCCTCGGGGTGATTTCCTGTCCCTTACGCACATGAGGACTGGCTCCTGGGAGGACGTAGCAGCACCCCCAGCTCTCCTTTGGGCTCAGCAGAACTCCTGGGGACAAGGCTCGTCTCCACCTCCAACCCTGGCCTCTGTGGGCTTCTGCTCTCTTTTTTCCCTACAGAGTGTGTAAAATTTCTTTCTCGGTTCAGCTGCTAACAAGTTAGAATTTTTCAAAAGAAACTTTGCTAAGAAACTATGGTGTAACCAGAACTATTCCAAAGGCCTAGAAACACCCACGTGTATAGACTTCATTTTCTTATTCTCTTTTGCTGACCCAGGTTGGCTTGGCCAGCAGAGCTTCGTGCCCACACTGCCTCCGCCTCCTTCTGACTGCCCCTCACAGTGCCAGAGGTTTTAGGTAGCTCGCTGGTTACCATTGCCATTAACCGCCCCTCTGCCCCTCCCCGCTACACCCTCTCCACCGTGGTGTTCATCCTTCATTTCCTAAGGATATTCCCTTGGAAGCAGAAAGTGAAAGAGTGTGTTGGTTGCAGGGCCTTGCGTGTTCGGAAGAAGACAGGGGGCGAGAAGATGCCTGTGCAGATGATCGGGGACATCCTGGCAGCCGAGCTGTCCCACATGCAGGCTTACATCCGGTTCTGCAGCTGTCAGCTCAATGGAGCAGCCCTGTTACAGCAGAAGACAGATGAAGACACGGACTTCAAAGACTTTTTAAAGGTAACTCCATCCGGGGACAGTAGGCAGGCCAGCTCCACCTGAGCTGGGGGGCGGCACGGAGGCAATCAGGAGGTGTCAGCAGCACAGTCAGGATCTCAGCAACTGAGCCTAGTATCCCTGTCAGTTTCCAAAGGAAATACACAAACGGCAAAGAATTTTCTGATTGCTTTGTGTTGCCTTTCATGTTGAGTCGATTTTTCTTGGCACTGGGGCCATGATTTTGCCCATCTTTAAATAGCAGTGTTTTTTTCAGCCTACTTACGTAAATCAACTTTTTTTTACTCCAAAAAAAAAAATCTAAAATGTCACATTCTTAATGTTGTAAATTGTATTTCTTTTATACCCATCTTATTTGTAAAGAATATAAAATAGCTTACTTAAACGTATAAAATGCTACAAGATAAAATAAAATTTTAAATAGGTGAATGAATAAAATAGGACAAAAGGAAATGAGAGTAGGAAAAAATGGTGACGCAAGAAATTAAGATAATACATAAAATAAAATGCATATCTGTGATCCTATACATATACTGGACGTGTACACAGATGTCGTCACACCTTCCAGAAACTAATGGGAAGAGGAGGAAATGATTGGTTCATGATTCCATGGTCATACATTAAAAACAGGCAGTTGGTAAGGAGAAGTAAAGCTAGAACTGCACTCAGAAAGACAATAGTATATGTGATATAATGAATCAACAGCATCCTTATAGTAATACAGCAATGAGCTTAGTTTGGCTGCTTATTATAATAGAATGTCACACTTTAAGAAGTCATTTTCATTGATATTATTCAGTAATAGAAATTATTACTACACATGTTAAAATGGTGAGGGAAATGAAAGTAAAATCTGTTTTCTCACTTTTTTTACATTTCATGTCAGTTTTGAGGGGCTCGTGAAGTACTGCTTATTGGAATCTATTACACAGCTACAGCATTACCAATGGGAGAATGCATAATTTTAATATTTTCATTATCAGAAAAGAATGGAAAAATAATTAAACGCAAAATAGAAGCAGTATAGGCCGAAGATAAAAATTCCAAAAGGAACATAGAGGAAGTAATAAAGATAAAAGCACAAAATATATCAATATATCCAAGAAAAGGTACACTGAAAAGAACTAACAAAACAACTTTGGTAAATCTAATTGAAAAAGATTAAAAAAAAAACAAAAACCAAAAACACAAACAAGTAAAAACAAGAACAGGTATAAAGATATTTCTTAAAGTAAAAGGGTATATGACTCAAAAATACATGCTAGTATGAAAACATTAACAAAATTTGTAGTTTTCTATAAAAATTTGAAAACTGGTTTAGTAAGAATAGAAAATCTGAAGATACTATTAACCAAGGAAAAAATTGAGTAACTTACCCCAAAAGAGGATCTGGGTTTACTTGATGGATTTAATGGTGAGCTCTTTCCAACTATCAAGGAATAGATTATTCTATGTTATATAAACTGCTACAGATCATAGAAAAAAATAGAAAACCTACCTAATTCATTGTATAAGATGAAAGTGGCCCTGACCCCAAGGCCTGTTTTTGTAATTTTATTTAATTACAAAAATGAGAAAAAAAGTTATTACCCCAAATCTCTTACAAATATAGTTGTAAAAATCTTAATATCAGTGAGTAAAATTAAGGATTACATGAAAAAAAGAGTCCATCACACCAAATAGGATCATCCCAGGAGGCAAGATAATATGCTTAGAATAACACAGGCTTCAGAATTGGACTGTGTCCATTGGGCCCCCGGCCCTATCACTGTCCAGCGTGTGACCAGGGCAAGTTACTTAACATGTGGTACCTTCATTCCCCTCATCTGTAACTGGAGATAGTACTTCTGAAGTACATTAGCAGAGAGACCAGCACATGGTAAGCATTCATTAAATGCCAGTTATATTTGCCTTCTTTATGGTAACCTCAGGGATTCGAAAATGGTTCAACATAAGGCACTGAGGACAGAACCCTTCAACTGGTGATTAAGGTGGAAGGCAAGGGGTTGCCCTGAAATGAACTAGAAGAAACACAGAAAGAAACCAAGAGCCTAGAAACAAACATTGATCAGATAAGATAAGTGTAGAATTGTGTTTTAGATTATCAATAGCAGAATTAAATGTAGGACATTAGCCTTCTAAAGCATAACAAAAGATTTTTAAATTTTTCAAATAGTAATAGCAATGTAAATAGGATATCAGTGTTGTCACAATTGTAACAATAATAAAAATAAATACAAAGTTTATAGTCTCATAATGAAAGACATGATGTTGATTGCATTAAAAAGCAAATCTAACAGTAAGCTATGCTACTTAAAAATGTTACTTAAAAAAAAAACCTCAGAAAATATAGAAATAAAAAGCATGACGATGCTTGTTATAGCTGCATAAACATATCCAAAAAAAAGAGGGGACAATTTTAATACTCACTAGTGAGAAATGATTAGGTAAATTACAGTAAGTGTATTTTTCAGTCATTAAAAATGATCATCCTAGAGTTGTAGCTACTCTGTGAGGTACCGCACTTATACTAAGAGTAGAAGCAAATGAGACGTGGTCCTTGGCTTCCTGGAGTTAACAGGCTGGTGGGGCATTGAGATGCCGCAAACCTCTACCTGCGTTATCCAGTCCAGCTGTAGCGTTGCAATAGAGGTAACCACAGGTTATTATTAGGGCTGGAGAAGGATCCCTGAAAGGGAGGAAAGGCGTCATGGAAAGGGAGAGCCTGAACAAGAGGTATACCCTGAGTCTTCAGAGATGAGGATGAGTAAGCCAAGTGAGGAAGGAACAGAAGGGCTGAGAACTAGCAAAGGCTAACACATTCATTATGTAGCACACAGTAGGTGCTCAGTAAATGGTAGTGATTATTCCTAATAAAGTAGGGGCTTGGACAGGCAGAGGTGAGGGAAATCAAGACCTATTAAGACAGAGAGATTGGTGTCAATGGTGACTTGTAGGTGTGGGGGGGCGAGTGAGTGCAGAATGGTGCTGCCAACTCAGGCTTTTATGAGGGGAGATGAGGACTTCGTTTTGGGATATGCTGAGGTATTGAGGTGCCTTTGAGACATCCAGGTAAGAAGGAGAGTAATGTGGCAAGTGTAGAGCTCTACAGAGGGTCCGGGTTACAGACTCAGGGACTGAGCTACAGGGGATCTGCGGCAGCATCTACAGTTAGGAGTGGGTAGAGGAGAAGAGAGGTGAATAAGAGAGGTCAGCGGGCTGGGAGGACAGCCGCGGGAGGGTGGTTCTGGAAGCAGAGGGAGACTATTGAATGCCTGTAAAAAAAAATGGAGAAGCACCCACTGAGTTTGGCACATGGAGTAAGATGTTCCTACTGCTAATTCGAACATATTGTTTTGGATCCTGAATTTTTAAAAGAAATTAGAAATCTGAAAGGTGGTCAAAGTCAGGAGTATAGCCAGTGTTTCTTTCGTTTTCACGGGGGCTGTGATTTCCTCATGAGCCTCTCAGTTACTTTGCAGAAGCTGGCATCTGACCCTCGATGTAAAGGAATGCCCCTCTCCAGCTTCCTGCTGAAGCCCATGCAGAGGATCACCCGCTACCCTCTCCTCATCAGAAGTGTGAGTGTCCCTGTGGGCGGAGGAGCAGGACCCTTTGAGGGTCACAGAGGCTGATAGAGAGCCTCCATATGCCAGTCACCCTGCCCCATGGTCTGACTCCACTGTCTGATGGACCAGGCACCAAGTGTGTGTGTGTGTGTGTTTGTGTACATGCACGTGTGTGTATGTGTGTGTGTACATGCACGTGTGTGCGTGCATGCACGTGTGTGTGTACATGCATGTATGTGCATGCACATGTGTGTGCATGTGTGTGTGCATGCACGTGTGTGTGTACATGCACGTGTGTGTGTGTGTGTGTGTGTATACAAGCACATGAACACACACATACAACCTGAAGGGCTGAGTCCTTGAAGTGGGCCAATAAAGGAAGCGTCTGATGTCCCCTGGGTAACCTGTCCTCCCCCAGCCTCTCAGAATCATGAGTGTTTTTGTCTGGGCAGGGTAAAGGCCCTCTAGGTCTCTGGTTGTGGAGCCCACCTTGAGCCCAGGCAGGGTCCACCACTAGTACAACCTTGGGCTCCAGATTTTCTGCTGAGACCTAAATTTGTTTACCAACTGAACACACCCACCTTTACCTGGAGGTCCCAGGAGTGTCCATATCAGCATGTCCTAAACAGCTCATCATCATCCCCTCAACTTGCTAACTAAACAGTCCTAAAATTCCATCCATCCTTTTGACATAAGAAATGTGGGCCTCTTGAGCCACCATGCCTTCTAAGGGGAAGGCAGACATTACAAAGACTCATTCCACCAATAATCATTAATATGATATTAATCATCTTATTAATACAAAGAAAAAGAGTATACATAATATAAGGCTCTTGCTTTTATTGATTATCCCTAGACTATCGGTCTGTAAGCCATGTTAATAATTCAGTTAATCCACATTAATCCACAGTCCCACACCTGGAATACGTTGGGCCCAATGTGTTTCAGAGCTCACAGAATATGACACCCCAACAAAGCCTGGGCAGCATTACTGCCAAACATACTGATATTCCTACAGTGAATATATGAATAACCACTATCGGCAGAAGAAATAAATAACGTCTCTTCAGTTTAGGTCAGTCTTTACCACCAAACGAGCATTGAAAAAAAAAATCTTTAGGCTTTCAGGGCTGTTTTCCATTTGGAATTGTGAAAAGGGACTGTGGACCCAGGCGACTAGGGATCCAGACAGGAGTCCTCTGCCCGGAGGCCCGATAATTTCTGGGGGGACCACACTCCTTTGTACTCTGGCCTCTGTTCTTTGACGTTTGTAACTTTAGTTTGAAGTCACTTCAGAATGAACTGAATGTGTTTTCCTACACACTAATGACATAATTTTATTGTATTCTTCCTGTAGCAGGGGATTCATTGCACTCATCAGATTTTTCAAAAGGATCAATGACCCCAAAAATGTTATGAACCGTTGCTGTTCAGCAAATTCACACTTTTTTCAGCCAGTTTATACTGGAGGGTTCAGCCGAAAGGCACATTGCTTCAATTACTGGGGGCAAGTAGGGAGGCGCCCTTTAACACACAGCCTGTTACCAAGCCCCAGCCGGAGAGCCACTTGATCCACGTAGCACTTGGCACACCCTCTTGTGAGTCACCTGTCTCCCTAAGAACTCATGGGACTGTGAGCTCCTCAAGGACCAGTGACCGGCTTGGTCACCATTGTATTTGCAGGGCCCAGCATAGCACCCAGCACATGTAGGCACCCTAGGCTGGCTGGGGAGTGGTAGACACAGTACATCCCACGTGACACAGACTCTCTTTCCAGATTCTGGAGAACACCCCGGAGAACCACGTAGACCACTCCTCCTTAAAACTGTCCCTCGAGCGGGCAGAGGAGCTTTGCTCCCAAGTTAATGAAGGAGTTCGGGAGAAGGAAAATTCAGACCGACTGGAGTGGATCCAGGCACACGTCCAGTGTGAAGGTCTCGCCGAGGTGAGGTCTGTGGGGTGGACCTGGCCACTGCCAGGCGGGCTCTGGGTGGCGAGCCAGGCTCAAGCCGCCCCCTAGTGTGGACAGTCTACACCTCAGCCCAGCCCGCGGACTCGCCATCCTGCCCCCTTTTCAGCTGTCATCTTCCTTTCCTGTAAAGAGAGATTTGATATTTGTTTTGAGGTCTTTGAATTCAGCTGGTAGAATCAGTATTCTGTGGCTATAAATAATCATTTTCACCAGTTTGAACTCTGAAGAGAAATAAATTGTGTAAAGGTGAATAACCACAGCCACATTCCCAACTAGAAAATTCTACCACCGCACCCTCAGATCCAGGGCACAGGCCTGTCAAGGGGCTCTGGGATGATTTGTGCTGGGACCTAACAAACCGACAATTTCTTTCTCGTTAAGCAACTTATTTTCAACTCGCTCACCAACTGCCTGGGTCCCCGGAAGCTCCTGCACAGTGGGAAATTATACAAGACCAAAAGCAATAAGGAGCTACACGGATTCCTCTTCAATGACTTCCTGCTTCTTACCCACATGGTCAAGCAGTTTGCCGTTTCCTCAGCCTCTGAGAAACTCTTCAGCTCTAAGTCCAACGCTCAGTTCAAAATGTATAAAATGGTAAGTGTCGCATTCCTGGCAGCAGCATGGGGCACATAACGAGGTTTTCCTTTACCTTAGGGACCTCCTTCCTGGCCTGAGCCTTTGCCGACCCTGTGCCCGTTTCTAGGGGTCTGATGCTTCTGTGGCCACTTCCCAGGGAAGAAGCCCCAGTGTGGCTGGGCCTTCGCTGCCCTGTGACAGCCACCAGGGGACTCCAGCTTTGGGGTGACCCATGATCCCATCTCTTCCACATTCAGCGTCGGGCCTCTCTGAGGCAGAGGCCAAGTGTCGGCGTGTGGAGGAGACCCTGTCACATGAGCAGCCATGAGTGCTCAGAGCTCCTGTCTGAGTGACAGCTAATCTACCCCAGATATTTGCTTTTACAAAATGGAAGCAGTTTCTTTGTTCCCAGGTAAAAGGCTCTGGAAGCTAGACCCCTCCCTCCCTCTCCACAAAGCTCTTCAGAGCAGACAGAACTTGCTGTGGACGTAGGCGGGTGGAGTGTCCTAGCCCATCTCACAGCCTGTGTTTGGCCCTAATTCTTTCAGCCCATTTTCCTGAATGAAGTCTTGGTGAAACTGCCCACAGACCCCTCCAGCGATGAGCCCGTCTTCCACATTTCTCACATTGACCGGGTCTACACCCTCAGAACAGACAACATTAACGAGAGGTCAGTCCTGACCCCGCGCGGCCTGCTTTGAAGTCTAGGAGGAAGGCTGACATCCCCGTCTGCCATAAAGCCATCTCCAGTCCGTGCTCACGTCCTGCTTGCTGTGTGTCCTCAGCCTCTTTTCGCCACTCCCCAGGGCCCCGCCCCGCTGGTAGGCCCCGTTTAAACGTGCAGGGTTATCGCAGCTGCCTCCTGACATGGTTCCCTGCTTCTCATCCCTCCTCAGAGCCTTACCACAGGGCAGATCCTGCACCGAGCTTTCTGCTAGAGTCCCTCAGGCACCAGCCCGTGCCCCTCTGGGCTCCAGAGCCCTCCTTGTGCCCCTGGGACCCAGTCCCATTGCTCCGCCCACAGGACCCTCCAGACCGCCTGGCGGACGGCATTCTCCCCGTCTGTGTGCCCGGCACCTTGCGAGTGCCTGCCGTTTCGTAAGCAGTCAAGACTGTTGAGACGTTCTCAGCTCCATCCTCAGTTAGCAAACAAGTCTTGGAGTTGAACAAATTTCAAGCCTGTGATTGGAAACTTGTTCAAGCCGAGATTAGCCAGAGAGAAGACGGGCGCAGAGCTCTGGGCTCCTGGGGGTCCTGTGCGGTGTGTGGGAACGCCGGCCGCCCCGTGGCTGAGCTCTCCTTCTCCTGCAGGACTGCCTGGGTCCAGAAGATCAAGGCAGCTTCTGAGCAGTACATCGACACAGAGAAGAAGAAACGGGAGAAGGCCTATCAAGGTAGTGGGTCTTGCGGTGGAGGGTTGGAACCAGCCACCAGGGGGCCCTGGGGAGGGGGGCAATGGGGTCTTACCTTCAGGACATACCTTACTGCTCCTTCAGAGAAGGGGGACATGACGGGTAAAAGCTGTGGGATCAGACAGCAGAGCCCAGCTCAGCCGCTGTGCCCGCTTCGCCCCCACAGCTGTTTCAAACCTCCTGGGGGCCTCCCTGAGCACCCCACCCCGCTCACTGCACAGCCAGGGGTCATCCAGTATGAGCTCCCAGACCTCCCTTCCCTCTGTGGCAAAGTCTGTGTCCCGCGTCTTCCCACACTCTCTTCACTCTTGTTTCCAGGAAGGGCGGTCCTTTCCATGCACAGCCAACCCCACCTCTGCTTGGTCCATTTTGCTCCATCAGACTCCTCCTGTGTGGCCTGTTTCCCTTCAGCCCCTAAGCACTGCTCCTCCCCTCCCCCGCCCTCCCCCCTCTCTCCCCCGGACGTGCCCATCCTGCTCCCTCTGCCCCAACTCCAGGTCCTGGCTTGTGTCTCCCCGACTCCTCACTCACGAGCCCGTCCCCATCAGTCTGTGCAGATGTCTCACTCACACAGCACCAGCGACCTGGCCGAGGGCTTGGCACACTTCCATCCTTGGGCTCCCTGCACCCAAAGGCAGGAGGCTGAGGCTCCCGCTCCCCCTGCACCCCGTGATTCCCCTGAGGGTCCTCCTACCTCCGAATCTTCTTCCATCTCCTTCCTAGCTCCTCTTCCTCCCACCTGGGAGCTCTTCCCTGCTTCAGCCTCTGTCCCCCCTCCCGCCCTTATCCCGTTTTCACTGGCACAGCTGGGCTGTCCTCTCCTGAGCCCACACTCAGCAGACACATCTGCTGGACTTCTCCCCGATACCTACTGGGCATCGCAGGGGGGCACCGCCAGTGAGATTAATTAGCCTCCTCCCAGCAGTAGCTGCTCCTGAGAATCTCTGGATGGCAGTACGGTCCTTAGTCACCCAGACTGGAAACGTGCTCTCTGCCCTCTCCACCCCACACACGTACCTCTCCTCCAGTGAGTTCCAAGCCCCATATGGCCTCTCCGTTGTTATCTTTCCCACTTGCCTGGTCTTTCCTTTTCCCAGTGGCACAGCT